CTCTTCGAAAGCACCAAATATCTGTTTCCTTCACCATCTGAGTGTCCAAATAGTCAGAGAGAGTCCACACAGACACACAGCTTGGTTTCTAAGTAGCAATTTATTTGAGATGGGCTATGCTTGCTGCTGCAAACCTCAAAAAGTTCATTAAAATACACGAACAGTCTAAGAGCTCTTATAGCAGGATGGTGGGATATGTGTAGTTTTGTTCTCTTAAGTAAGTCCTAGAGTCTATTTTTTCATTGCGATGCAGATGCATCATTTTTAAAGGACATATTTTTAAAGATAAAAAAACCTACAGCTTTCAAAAGATTTTAAAGGAGGGATTACTGCACCTCAAACATTTCTTGGATTCCTTAATAACCGCTTATAGAACCTTAATGTGTATAATTTATAACACTGATTAAAGAGTTTTAATTTTTAAAAACCTCCCCCTGGATGACAGTCCCTTTATCATTGGATGGCCATTAATCTTTCTCCGGACACAACAGCCACAGCCCTCCATGTGGGGTGACATCCTCGAGTCTAGAAATGGCACTTTTACAACAAAGGAAAACAACATTTCATTGTCAGTCCCCACCTTCCTCCTGTTGCAGACAGACCACATCTCCAGGAACTATCCGGAATGATCCTCAGACAGATAAGGTCCTTCACCTACATCACCAACCGCTGACTCAGCAACTGGCACAAAGTTCCCTTCTCCCTAAATGACTTACATATTCCACTGAAGTTTGTCACTGTAATATTCGCAGACACTAAATATCTCAGAAAATAAAAGCTCCATATAAGAAGTGAATTTCTCTCTTGCACCTAGCACATAGGAAGTGCCCAATAAATAGTGTTTAGTGAGCAAACCAATGAACTCAGTTTTCCATTTCTTTTTGTTCAACAAATAAAAAAACAATTAAACATGTTTCTTCAAGGGTATCATAGGGAATGTCCACTAATAGAAAAGTTTAAACACTGCTAGGAATAAACATTTCTGCGCAAGGGAAGAAGCTGAACCAAAGGACCTGAAAAGTTCCTATCAACTCCTAGCTTCTGTAACTGGACGAACACCACACCTTAAGAGCCAGTGGATCAGAGAGTGGGTCAGCTACAAAAAGCCTGACTCCCAGGTAGAATAAATTACCATGCTCTGTTTAAAATAAAAATAATAGCTGTCCTGGGACTTGGAGACAAAAATATTAACTCATCCAAAACATGGACACATCCCTAGGGGAGAAATGCTCTTGCTAATCATCAGTTACACTCTAGAAACCACAGATGTGCTTCTCAGAGCCAAGCTCCAAAACTATCCATGGGAAAATGGAGAAGCCAGGGATAACATTAAAACAGACAGTATCACAGTAACAACCAGAGTTTTTGTTTTCTAGCGAACAACAAATCCATTTAAGAAACATGTGAATTTAGCCTGGAAGTTTAAGTGGTTATAACTGAATATATAGTCATTCCCCCACGTGGTTGTGCTCCAAGACCCCCCACTGACTGCCTGAAACTGCAACTAGGACATTCATACTTGTGATGAAGTTTAATTTGCAAATTAGGCACAGTAAGAGACTAATAACAATAATGAAGAATAACAGGACAATTATAATAGTATACGGTAATAAAAGTTATATAAATGTGATCACTGAGCATGAATTTCTTTTGCCCTCTTCACGATTTCATGGATTGACGATTCATTCTTACAGTAGATCATAGCAACATCAACATACGATTTTTTTTTTCTTTCCCCCATGAAAAATTTCTACCCTTCCACTGAAAGGAAGCACTTTACCCCTTCTCTCTGGCATGTCTGAATTGCTAGCATCACTACGCCTGTGCACTGGGGCCATTATTAAGTAAAATAAGGGTGACTTGAACACAAGCACTGTGGTACAACGTCAGCCGGATAACCCAGACTGCTACTGAGCGACTAAGGGGAAGGAGCGTATTCGGCCAGGATAAGCCGGACAAATGAGGACAAAGTGGGCGGAGGGATGATTCATATCCCTGCACTGGGCTGAGCAAAGGGCTCATTGTCATGCTCTTCAGAATGGCGGGCAGTTTGAAATGGATGAAATGCTTACTTCCAGAATATTCCACCTAGTTTTTGGACTGAGGTGGACCATGGGAAACTGAAATCTTGAAAACAGAAACTGTGGATAAGGGGGGACTACTGTAGCCTCTTCATAAGATAGAAATTACTGCATTTGACATAGAAGGATATTTGCCTAGTAAAAGGTCATATTTACCTGGGATATCACACTAAGATGTTCACATTCCAGAATGTCTCAAATTAGCCCTGGCCAGGTAGCTCAGTTGATGAGAGTGTCCTCTCCATTAGCCAAGGGTGCGATTTGATCCCAGTCAGGGCACATACGAAAAGCAACCAACAAATGTATAAATGGGTGGAGCAACAAATCGATGTTTCTCTGTCTCTCCCTCTCTTTCTCTAAAATCGACAAATAAAAATTAAAAAAAAAGAAATGTCTAAAATTGAGGGCCAATTATTCTGATTGATCTTTCCTTTCATCTGGATGGGGGAGGAAGTTTGTAGGGAAAGGAGATACATTCATGTTTTCCTAAACAACTTTTAGTAAAAAATCTAATTTTAAAGTTGTAACTAGAGAAACTCTTACACATAGATTAACTTTTTGAGTGATTCTTCTCTTCCCTGCACTCTTTTTGTTCTAATCAGAGAATAGATAAGGGAGGAGAAGGGGCAGGGTATTCTAACAAGAAGGATGCAGTGTAGATCCTTCGGAGCTGTGTCTGGAGAACCTGCCTGTACTGGGGTTGTTTTAAAGACAAACTGCAGACACTACACTTAAGACATTTATGGAGTGAACAACAAAGTGAAGCAGCTCAACGATCCCTTGGAAACGTATGAAAAAAACTACAACTTTGTAGTCAACCCCTGAGCACCCATAGCACAACTCAAAGAAAGAAGTCTTCTGTTTTCAAACTGTAAGTAATTTAATCTTAATGCCAGCGACAGCAGGGAATGTGCAGAGAAAGCAGTTACCTCCTCTGTGCACACACTTTTAAATATCTCTATTATTTGAATGAGAGAGGTCTTACACAAGAATTCTGCAGGATTAAGCTCACATCTGGTTGGCAGACCTGGTGTTGGATATGATTATGGCCACACAACTAAATCTTAAATCCACATACTGTTCCTATTTAACTGACATATATGAACTAACTAATTTAGAGAAAATGTGCAGCAAATTATTTCTTCCACTTCCCCATGCCTCAAGAATGCACCAGCAATAGGTATTACTGAAAAAGACAGCCCCCCACCCCGCCACCGCGTAACGTTTGCATTCCCAGATGCTTTCCAGTTATCTAAAGTAGATGTTTTAGTTATCTGAATCTGCGCCTTGGAAATACGTATAGCGGGGGAGGGAGTAATTTAACCGGACAAACTTGACCTCTCTGAACCTCAGTTTTCTCACACGCACACACTCACAGATTAGCCCAGAGACTACCAATTCCCTCAATAACAGCAATCGCTGACCACTAATTATCAGGAGCACAGTTTGTGTGCAAGAGCAGATCTGAATTCTTAAGAGTCTGTCATTAACTATTAGAATGTAAAATGCCTGAACGACCGACAGCTACACTCCGATATGACCACCGAACATTTTCTGACCTCGGGGGACGTCTTTGAAAACACCTCGGCAGCAGGAGCACCAACCTGAGTTACAACACGCAGAGGAATCCCGCGCACTTCCCGGAGCCGGAGGGCGGGGGTGGGGGTAGGGGAGCGCGTTAACCCGACAGGATTCAGAACAAGTCCGGAGTCCGAGCGCACAGCTTGCATTTCTGGGAGTTCAGAGCTTCCAGTATCTCCGAAGGGCTTTTGTCTATATCTACAAAATCTCTCAAGCCACCACCTGCAGCTACACAGTTACCGGTAGGAGAAGAAAAGGAAAAGGAAAGGGAGGGAGTAGAGCAGGAAAAACCTCACGCGAAGCGCCCCCGAAGCCGGTGGGGCGAAAGTGGAATTTGAACCTCGACAAAGAAATGGGGAAAAAGAAAGAACTAGGACTCCGCCTTTCCCACCCTGTTCTACTCCTTTCACTAAAAAGGAAAGGCCGCTACGGTCCCTTCCCTCTGCCTTCCGACCTGGGATGCGGAGCACCGACTGAAACCACACCCTCCGAGACTCGCCGGGTCCGAGTCGCGCACCCGGCAGGCGCTGCCCCTGCCCCGCCCGCAAACGCGGGACTGGGAGCATCCCCTTCCCTCCCTCCCTCCCACGCTCGGGGGCCGAGGGGCAGCGCCTTCTCAAGGCACCCGCCCTCCCTTCCTCTTCCTCGCGTCCCCGCCTCTTCGGCCAGCCGCCCCCATCCTTCGATCCGCAGGGTATTTTCATACCTCCACCCACCCCGACAAGGGGGCCTTTTGAAAACTTTGTGTATATGTAGGGCTTTTGTCCACATCCTGGGCAGGGCCCCGGTCACCCGGGTGGACGCCTCGGGGTGTCCGGGATCTCACAATGCACTGGGGAAACCACCACGGAAATCCCACCCCTTTATTTCTGACCCGCTTCTACAACCGAAAGACACGCTTCGGCTAACAATTCCCAAGCCTGGTCGCCCCTCCGCGCGGGGGAGCAGGGAGGAAACCCCCTCACCAGTCGCCTTTCTCGGCTGTCACGAGGAAAAAGGTGTGCGCGCGGGGAGTGAAGCAACCGAGAAACACCTTGGCTAAAAGAATCTTTCTAAATGGATCATAGGAGAGAGATCCTTTTTCTCCCACATCCCGGGAATCGGGGCGCACGAGGCGATACACTGTTGCATCACGCAGCAGCCGAGCTTCGGGGCTTTCTCGCCCTCTCCTGAGCCCCAGACGCGCGCCCAAATTCATGCACACACCCACAGTCACAGCCGCCACCGTCCGGAGACCCCGCCCGTGTTCCCCGTATTCCCGCCGGCAACCTCCCCAAAGCGGGTACCACCCAGCGCCCGATGAGTAGCGGGCTAGGGAAAGGAGGCCCCAGCACTCACCGACGGTCTCCCCACGGCCACGGCCATCGCGGCTGCGTCTCCGGCTCTGGTTGCGCCCGGGTGCTCTCCGCCAACACTGACTGCTGCTCCGGCTCCGGCTCGCCTCCCCCGCGCCTCCTTCGCGGCTGCGCTCTGCTCGCGCCCGGATCCCGCGCGCAGCCAGCGGCATCTGCTCCCCCCACGCCACCGCCCCTCCTGCTTTATTAGAGCAACATGGCCACCCGCCTGGAAGGGACCATTTGCTTCCCCAGAAAGGGGTGTAAGCCTGCGCGGCGAGGCCGAGGCGGTAGGAGGGAGGTTGGTGGGCGGGTCTCCAGCCCCGGTCCGCAGGCTCCAACGGCAAGGCTTGCCCTCTCAGACAGTAACCCTGGGCCCGGAAGCGACCTTCGTTGGTAACAACGAAAGGCCCCAGCCTGTGCGCTAGCCGCCACCCCCTGCTCCACCACGTGCCGGAATCCTAGTAAAACCCTGGGCGCGGAGGTCCCAGCCCCGGGTCCCTCCACGCGCTAAGCAGATGGAGCCGCTGCGAAGAGGGGGAAGGGATGCCAGGCAAGACAGGTCCGCGGGGACAGCATCTCGCGGAAAGTTAGCCCCGGGCAAGCACGCCCCACCCGGGGGAACCGGCTTGGAAGGGTGTGCGCGCCACCAGGGAGTTCCGTGGGCGACCGAGGTGGGGCTGGGCAGGCCCCCACAAAGGAAGACTTGCTCCTACAGAAGTCTATTCTTAAAGGAGATACTTAAAAAGAGGTAGCTGGAAGCTGTCACTGAAGCGTTCGTCCGGGTAGGGGACCACAGCGAAGAGGAAGAGGCCGCAGCAGTTGCTGATGTGGACGACCAACCACCGCCGGCTGGAGAGGAGCAAGAGGACTTCCCCGCGGGAGAATTAGCGCAGCTGTAGACTGCCCCAAAGTGTCGGGGCCGAGGCCTCCACGGCTGTAACAAGAGCCCGCGGGTCACACGTGGGGGCTCAGCGAACTTTATTGGATCGCTGGAGGCAGACCCAGCAACCCGCAGGCGCGCGTGGGGGTTGCGCCTGGGGGCTCCGCGGCTGCGGCGCCAGGCGGGTGACTATGGAGTCTGTGCGACCCCGAGCCGGTGCGACTTGGCAGTCTCTCTGCCGGAGGGACGGGTTTTTTTCCAACAGCCGCTGGGGCGCTACTGGGTGGCAGTATGCGGGGCGGAATGGCAGAGTCCTGTTGCGCGCCGGCAGTGCGGCGCCCAGGCGAAGGCCTGACGGCGAGGAAGTGCTGTAGATTCCCGCAGCTACTCGCAGGGCCGGAGAGAGGGCCCCCGGCCACAAAGTGGTTGAGGATCGCGACGGGTCGGGGAAGGGAAACTACTTGTTGGATTGAAGCGCGGGGGGGATGAGGAGGCGGTGTAGGGCTGTGATTAGCCCACGGGATTGCACCCTCAGGGAAAACCAGGACCTATTGAATTAGGTCAAAGACAAAGCGCCTCTTTAGACTGGGGCGCCTCAGAGTCTGATCTGAGACTTCCCGCAACCCGGTTTCTCGGGAGCTTTGCGTCTGCCCTTCCTGCCATCTCTGGCCCGGGGGAAGGGGGGGAACGGCGGGGCGAGAGGGGGAGACACACAATTCGAAAGCGCCGCCCCACCTTGGGCTGAGGGTGAGTGGTCTCCGGGCGGGAGTCCAGCTGCTGTGAGGCAGACGCTGGATTGCCCTAGAGGGGTCGAAGGGCTTCAGGCCACCCAGGCTGAATTCCCCCGGCAGGATGCAGGTGGGACCCTCAGGGATGAAAGTATGATGCGAGTCCCCTCAATGAAAGAAAGATGGGAGGCTCCGAATGGGGACCTTTTCTGTGTGTGGGCGGACCCAGACTTGCAGACACTTACGAACCTCTTCAGATTTGACCAATTTTTGCCCCCTAGTCTTAAAATCTTTTGAAGGCATGGTCTACCATTTTCTGTCAAGCATACAGTAAGCGCGCAGTACGTGTTGATTTAAGATTACCACGTGGATGGGTGCAATGCAAAAGGAGCGGGAAGAGAAATGCTTCCATCTGCTGCTCTCCGTCTACAGACGTTTTGTTCCTTCTCCCATAGGGAGGACGTCTCTGGTAAACCCTATGAAAAGGCAGCTCCCTAGGCTGCTAAACGGTTGTAAGGACAGTTGCAAACCAACTTTCCATTTTGTGTTATGCTGACCAGGCCAGACTTCAGGTTTTAATCAATTAATTTTTTTTAAAATAACTTGCTCAAGGTCACCCAGCTAATAATGTAGTCAGCAGGGGTTAGAGTACACGTCAGTCTGACTCCCAAAGCCTATGTTCTTTCTTTCTTTCTTTCTTTCTTTTTTTTTTTTTAAGATATTATTTCTTTTAGAGAGAGGGGAAGGGAGGGAGAGAGGAAGAGAAACACTGGCCAGTTGCCTCTCAGCATGCCCCCAACGCGGGACCTGCCCTGCAACCCAGGCAGGTACCCTGACCTGGAATCAAACTAGCCAACTTTCTATTGGCAGGCCAGCACTCAATCCACTGAGCCACACCAGTCAAGGCAGTCGATTAACTTTTAATTCACTTCTTAAATGCTTGTGTTGAAAATAGCTGATTAGACTCTAAGAGAATGAATTCCCAATCTTTGTGGATAGGTTAGTTTGTTCTCACCACAAAAGCTTACAGTCAGTTATTCCAAGATCTCAACTGTTTGAAGAAACTCTTTTAGGACAAAATCATTACAGTTTACCCAGCTTCTGCCTGAAATTTTCACTGAATAGGAGCAATGCCTTAAATTCCCACCTCCCTGACATTTTTGGGCAGGTAGGCATAAATATATTTAATAAAAATACAATTTAATTACTGTTGTCCAAGAAAGGCTATTTCAGAATGTCAGTTTCTTTCTGAAGTTATTTAAATATCATTCTACAACAAGACTACCTAGGTGCAAAATCCTGGCTTTACCACCACTTCACAGCTATGTGACCTTGGGCAAATTACTTAACCTTTCAGTGCTTCCATTTTTTAATCTTTAAAATCAGTTTAATAATAGTTCTTCCCTATTAGGGTTGCTAAGGGATAAGATTACTTTTTTAACTCTGCCAAGCACTGTGCTAGGAACTAAAAATTTTTAAAAGAGGATGCTTCTTTGACTCTTAATCAGTGCAGAGTCCTGACAAATAATCCAAGTCCTAGAAAAGATACATGAATTAAGGGATTTTAAAGCACAGTAAAAAACAGATATATTCACTTTCCCTGTCAGAACAGAAAAGGCTTCACCAAGAAGGTGTAACAGGAAAGAGAGCAGAGAGGACATTCAAACAAGGGAATACAGAATGAACAAAGATTCGGAGGTTTTAAGGGTGATGATGCTGTCAGAAGGGCGGGTGTGCTGGCAGAGCTAGAGTAGGAGCCTTAGGGGGAGCATGGTGGGGTGGGGGCAACATAGCACTTCAACTCCAGATTGTTACTTATTAGCTATGTGACATCAAGCAATTAGCCTTTCTTCGTCTCATCTTTTTCTATTGTCAACCGGGCAGTGACAGTGAGTCCTAATAGAGGACACATTTGCCAGATCCCCTCATCTTCCGACCCCCCCCCGCCCCCCCCCGCCCCCCCCCCCGTAGCTTGAACTCAAAGGGTTCTCTTTCCCTTAGCTTCCATTTGAATGCAGGCAATGGTGGGCATCCTCGGTACAACAAAGAGAGGAGTGTTGGTGTTTATTTCCCCAGGCTCCCTTGCTGTGGCCCCATTGCAGGCTGGCTGCATTCCCCAACCGAAGGTCACGGTTCTTCCTTAGGATAATCCAGGGGAACCTCCTTGTGCTTCCTCTACATTTCTCCCATACCCTTGCAAATACTCTTTATTAAACTCTACTCAAATTATGCATTAGGAATTTACCATCTCATTCCTGCTAGGACCTTAACAGTTTCAGTCCTTCACAGAATTGTTTTGCTCAGAGTTCATTGAGAAAACATAGGTATGCTATTGTTGTTGTCCAAATTTAGAAACTTCTGAGATTGAAAGAATAGTCTTGGTACACTAAGACAACAGGCAAAAAACCAGTACTTATGGTCACCATAGCTATTATTACAAGGCAAATCAGGCAATTGAAAGGTGATCATACTAATATAAATCCTTTACCAGGCTTTGAGTGTCTCAAGGCAAGAGTGCTCGTGTGTGTTTCAGCTTACAGCACAAAGTCTGATGTATTCAATGAATGTTGAGCTGCATTGGAATAGCAATGAGGCTAGAAAACCCCTATTGTCATGCTAAAGATTTATAACTTGATTCTGTGGGAAATGAAGAGTCGAAGAGGTTAAACATAGAAGTGACGTATTTGCATTTTAGAAAAGATCTCTAGTGAATATTTGACATTGTTAGTAATTCAGGCTCTAGTCCCTTTTTAATGAAACCTCAATTTATTTGGGGTAATTTCCCAATGAGTGTGTCCACCCTAGTGGAAAGTAAATGCCTCTACAAAAGAGGTTCCTAAAGTTCTTTTTCATCAGATCCTTCCTTTTACCACCAAAATACATCCAAGAGAGCATGTGATCTGAGCTTGCCCAATCAGACACTGTTCATTTAAGTTTGAATCTTAACTCACGCAAAACCAGTACAAATAGAGTAAATGCATCCGTAACTTATTTTTATTTTTTATTTTTGCTTAAATTATCTAAGGTTTGTTTCTGTGGCTTGCACAGAACCAGATCTAACACAAGATCACCTTGACGCCAGTAAAAATGATGAATTGGAAAGAAACGCTTTACGAGATAAGGAATAAGCTACAAGTGATTGCCACTTTATTTCAGTCAGTATAAGAAACAGCAAATCCTGAACCCCTCCTGCAAAACTGTGTGTAAAAATGTTCCAATATTTTAAACCATCTAAATGGAGAGGGAAAAGGAAAACTATCTCAATTCACAGATGACATGAACGTGTATATAGAAAATCCCAAAAAATCTCTTAAAGAATCATTAGAACTAATAAAGGAGCCCAACAAGGTTGTATTGATACAAGGTCAATATACAAAAAACAATTGCAATGAACAATTCAGAAATGAAATTAAGAGAACAACTTTATTTATGAGAGCATCAAAAAAGAATAAAATACTAAGGAATAAATGCAACAAAAGTAGTATAAAATTTGCACCCCAAAATATTGAAATATTTTAAAAATATTACTGAAGTTTTTAAAAATCTATGAAAATGGAAAAACATC